GGACAAGTTCTAATTGCAGTTTGCTTGATTTGAAGGAGTTGGTCGAAATGTGAACAGCTATTTGGTAGACATTATCACATTTGTTTTCAATTTGACCATGTGGCTATGCAACATTTCTTTATCTTTTTATAACAAAAGGAGACAAGATTGAAGTGCCCTCTCCCCCCACTTTGCGGAGTTGGGGTTGATGAATTTGTACGAGAGTTTTCCATGGTAATTTGTAATATACACGCAAATGTGTGCGTGCGCACAATTCTGTTTATTGACTACAGACTGATTAATTCATTTGCTTTACAAGCCTTGTGCCCATATGATTTCCCATGATTAATCTCCACTGCTACCTTTCTCAGTTGCAGAGATGGATGGGAAATATTCTGGTGGATCCGCAAATCGGAATCTGAATTCTATCATCGTGATAAGACTTTGAAACCTGTTTTCTTCGGCTTCCATGCAAAACATAATTGGCGTCTTGACTATTCTTCAGGCAATAACTTATGTCCAAGATCTATAGCTTGTAAAGCATTCATCTCTATGGCTAATTGACATTAAACTTGTGTAGATGTTGCAATGTCTCAAAAACTTCTTTTATTTCTTACTTAGTTTTAGCATATGCACATGTACCTAGTCCATGTATATTTAGTGCTATCTTGCTGTTTAAATATAAACTGAACTCACTAGGAATGGGAAAACTGTAGCCCAGTCGGACAAGGATTTACATTTTGTCGTTTCTGCTGAAATATGATAATCTTGCTTTTCTTTTTGGAATTGAAATTTCCTCTTTATAATTTTTAATATACCTATCAAAACTTTTATTTTTATTTCAACAGGATTGTCATGTTTCGTTTTTAAATACAGTTTGTAACCATCGACTTGTTAGTTTACCAGTGGCTAATGCCAATTACTGGTTGAACCGAATTCAAGAAGTATGCTTAATACTGAAAAATAATGTTATCTAGTATCATTCATTGGTAGAGAACTCCGGTCTAATTAGAATTATTGGATAAGTCTAATTAAAGTTGAATTAATTGAAATGATACAGGACTCATTTAATCCGACTACTTGTGTAGTGCTAGTATTAGTGGTGTTAAATGGTATCACTCAATATCATGTGTTTCTAGACATGCAAGCTCAGAATTCATTAGCCCTTTAGTACTGTGCAACTCTAAAGAAAAAAGAAGTTAAAATCTTGTGTCATTGATCATGTCGATCATCTAGTGAACACAAAAGCCTACTTAAACCACAGCGTGACAGATAGAAGCACACTGACAAATAACTCATCATATTAATACATGTAAGACTCATAATTGTTCATTAGCAACGATGCACTGAAGATAACAGTTGAGAACAATTGTAACTGATAAATACGTCATATTCTTTATCATCATCATCAAGTTGTTCTGTAATTTCTTTTCGTTTTCATTGACATGGAGAA